TTCCAGCGGAAATCGGCAACCTCTCGCTGATTTCGATGGTGGACATGATGAAGAATTACGATCGGGAAGAGAACGAGGCGCCGCCGGAAATGGTCGCCGGACTCGATGGGGCCACTATGGTTGAGTGAGTTTTTGGGCCTTTTCCAGAAATTCCACCCGTTTAGCCCCGATGATCTGGCCGACACGTCCTTCGACTACGAGCCGGACAACGCCCCAGCGGTACGTTTTTATAATTTTTGGAGCTGGTTCGTTAGCGGGGGGCTTGTTCTTGTTCCCATCGCTGCTAATGAAACGGAAGCGATTTTATGCTCTGTTTAAAACTAAAACTTTCTTTAGAAATGTACTGGAATTTTCGAAAAATGTATTTTTTTTGTTAAAATAAGATTCTTATTTTTAAGGCGGTTTTTTAACGTTTTAGCAATTAAAAACTACTAAGAGGTCCTAAAAATAGAACGTTTTATTCCTGGTGGTTATGCTGAATGAAATTAGTGAACCCGAAAAGTTTAAACTTACAATTTCGAAAACGCTGATTTATAGCCAATCGGTGACGCGGCCCTGGTCAAGATCGGCAAGCTCGACGACTCGCACTGGAACAAGGACGCCGTCGACAAGAAGCTGCTCCGCAAGCAGCAGCTCCTCAAGAAGCAGCAGGAGCAGCGCCGCAAGGACGAGAAGGGCAAACGGGAGAAGAAGTGGGTGTTTACGGCACAACCTTTATTCCTTTTTTCAGTTTCTTCCTGCCAATCGACGAGTTCAAGCGGCGGCATCGTCGCATCGACAAGATGTTCCGCAAGCGCGCCAACTTCCAGATGCTGACCCGGCTCGATTTGATGCCGCTCAGCGTGTTTTTGGTAAGTTTATTTTTGCTTTAAGCGTGAACTTACTGAACTTACCTGAAAAAGCAGACATTGCAAATTTCTGTGGCTCTGATTTCTAGTATTTTTATGCTATTTTCATCATGCTAGCTTTTTTAACTATGAAACTTGGTAGCTGTTTTCCCTCATTTATTTCCTTGAACAGGCCGGATATTTGTTAATTAAATTCTATTTTATTTTGTTTTTAGAAACCAAAAAATGTTTGTTTTTTTCAGAATCCCGAGAAGAAAATGCAGCTGCAGCGCCGGCCGGCCGTGCTAGCGGATCTGGCTGACAGTGCGCAGTACTCCGACTTCTTCGTCAAGCCCGAAGACATCCCATTCCAGCTGGACCTCGATGTAATTTTTGATCCCGCTTTTCCAGAACGTCGATTTTAGAACGTCAAGCACGTGCAGCGTTTCGCAGCCGAGCCGCTCATCTACAAGAAGGAGGACTTTGATCGGGGTAGTTTATTATTGCTATTTTACTATAATAGTACCAGGGTTGAAAAGCCGCTTCGCGACTTTTCAACCCTGGCCACCGTCTAATCCTATGATGTTCTTTATTTTGCATAATTGTGCCCCAATTCCGATGGCAAAAAAAAATGAAAAATGCTTCCTTTTGGCCTTTATATAGGCTACTGCGACTTCCGGCGTATGCTAATTTTCTCCTAACAAAGTGGGTGGCCGAATTTTTACGAAAAACCTAATTTTAATGTCGAAAACAACATACTTTACAAAATCTGAGATGTGTGCAGTCATCCCTAGACCATTACGCATCTAATGATGTATCAAACATCTCCTTACACCCCTCCCCTCTCGAGATATCCTCCGGACACGCTGACGGAAGTTGCATGCAAAGTGGCACACACACACACAGACACTATTTTTTTATATATAGTAGGATCCTAGCCTCACATTTTACAACTTTGGATTAGAAAATGCAAGAAATCTGGATTTTTCGACCAATATTGGAAATTTTTAGACATTTTTCTTGGGGTTTAACTTAGTTTTTCCACTTCAAATATGGCGGAATTTTGCTCAAAGTCTATTAAACTACTTACTATTTATTACGTGGAAACATCGGATTTATCAAGAATATTTTAATCATAGTTTTCAACAAATATTGAGAATTTTAACATCTGGGAGAAGCGCACTTCAAATTCGCAAAAATACCGGAAAAATCCCCCTTTTTAGACTACCTGGATGGGATGATCTACGAGGCGAACGAAGCAGCCGAGGCCGCTGCAGGCGCAGCCGGGAATGGAGGCGATGACGACGAGGAAGAGGAGGAGCCGCCGGTCGTCTACGACTTCACGGCGCCGCCCAAGGAGAATGACGGAGACGGGAAGCGCTACCTCGCCTGGATGGGCCAATACAAGCTGTCCTTCAACCCCAAGGATCTCCAGAGCAAGTACGGGTTTTTAAGATTTTTGAATCTTGAATTTTTAAAAGAAACTTACGCTAAAATTTAAAAATCTTGAAATTGGAAATGACAAAATCTTTTAAAATAGGAAAATTTTGTAAAAAAATAATTGAAATTAAGCGTTTTGCTAATTCCCAGTTTTAGGGAGGACTATCCGTACAAGACGGAAGAGGACTGGAACATGGATCTGGGCGACGACCCGATGACGTACGACGATCCGGTCTACGACGACAACAATGAAATCGACGTCGAGGCGACGGCTGCGAAGCGGGCTCGCCCGAATCCGTTCACCTTCGAGTAAGCTTTTAGCTCTCTCTCTCTCTCTCTCTCTCTCGCCTTCTATGTCGCTCTCCTCTAGCTCTCTCTCTCTCGCTCTTGATGACTCTCTCTCTTTCGCCCTCTCGCTCTCTATGCCTTTCTCTCTCGCTCTTGATGTCTCTCTCTCGTCTTCTTCGACTTCTTCGACTTTTCTATACTTTTCCTAACGTATTTCTTTCAGAGAAGCCCGTCTCCAAGAAGACTACGAAGAACCGCTGAACGAAATCGTCCCCACCGAGGAGATGAGCGAAGAAGATGCGCTGGCCCTCAACCAGGTACCCCTGGATTTGATCAGCAGCATCTTTTTGTAGATGCTCGAGCTCGGCCGTCGTGCCACCCAACAGCGCGTCGACACCTACCAAGTGAAGCTGGCCATCAAGCAGGTCCTCGGCAATCAATATGTGAGTTTAGTGGCGTAGTTTATACGACTTGTCGAAATTTCATGCTTTTCGGGATTTTTGATGTTTGAATTAAAATAGAAGTTATTTATTATTCTTATGAAAATCGAACTCCAAATTTCGGCTTTTTTCGAAATTGTCGCAACCGATCCTATCATTTTTTACCCAATTTTTTTTGCTTTTCAGCTTGACGACTCGCGGCTGATGAAGCTCGCCCAGCGATACGGCTTCACGGCGACGATGGCCAAGAACTTGAGCCTGGGCAGCCCGGACGGGCCCTCGGACAAGGAGAACGACGAGGAGCAGGCCACCGCCGACACCGAGGAGAAGGACGACACCCAGGAGTCGGGCGTGGCCAGGAAGAAGATTCGCGAAGCACTGAACGCGCCGCCCGTCGACCCGGAGAACGAGCAGCCGGTCGTCGCCGACCCCACCGACGACGACGACCCCAACATGTCGCAGCGCGTCGGCGATTTTGAGGTTGAAGGTGGGTAAATTTGTCGTGAATTTTTAACCTTTATGCTTCAGGCGTGCACTCGTTCTCGGGCCTGGTCTCGATGGTGCCGTACCGACTTCCATCGCAAGACAGAAACATCCACGTGGCCACTACCCTCGTCATCGCTCTGCACATGTGCAACGAGAATGTATGTGATAGCTTTTGCATGGGCTTAGACTTGGCTTGGCTTAGCTCAGCTTAGGTTCAGACTTGGATTGGCTCTAGCTAAACTCGGGCTTGACTTAGCTTAGCTTAGACTTAGACTCGGCTTGCCTAAAGCTAAGCTAGCCAAGCCTCTCTTAGCTTAGCTCGCTGTTGAAAATCATTCCATTCCAGGGCATCCTGTGCGAGCAGATGGCAAGCCAGACGTCAGACGGGCTCGACTCGAAGGAATGGATGTCGGACTTCCGGTTCAGGTTCGCGTTTCTGAAATCTCCTTAATAACTCTCCAATTTCAGGAAGTCTGGCAACGCGCACGACACGTCGGAGAACCTGGAGGAGGAGTTCGAGCGAAGCCGCGTCGAGTACGAGGAACAACAACAGCGCCAGCCCCTCCTCGACGGCGATGACGACGAAGGAATGACCGGATAGTCATGTGCTTTCTACGTGTATTTATTTACCCCCGTGTTTCGCTCACTCACTTTTTGGTTTTGTAGGCATAGATTTGTGCCCCCGCCTTTCCGCTTGGTACTGGACTCTTAGCGGGGGGGGGGGCTGACTTACGGGGGCTTGAAGGATACAAATAAATTATGCAAAAATCTTGGAAAAAATTCTTTTGCTCAAAATTTTAAAATTTCACCAAATTTTCGATGATTTGTTAGGCATTAAAATTGGCCTAATGCGCTATAGAAATTGTGTCCCCCCGTTAACAGTCCAGTACCAATGCTTCAAGCTGTCCCGATTACCCCACCCCCACTACTAATTGGCCTTAAAGAAATCCCATTACTAGCCTTCACTTGCTGTTGTGGACTTATTTCCATTTGAGTGCCTAACTGTCAAAAGCGGCCAAACCTAAATTATACAATTCTAATGGCCCCAGCACTACCTCCTTCCGCTCCTCCCCCTAACCCCACTGATTTTCGACTCTGGCCCACTAATTCTTTTACATTCACCGGTGATCTCTAATTCCATCCCCCTTCCAATAATCTCTAACCACCCAATTTCTCTAGGATCCCCCGCCGTTGTCTCGTTTCGCTGATTTCTATCTATATTTGTTTTTGATCTCTTCTGACGCAATAAACCTGGTCAATTTGCAGCTGTTTGAAAGAAAACAAGGAGCTTCGGCCGCTCAGCTTGGGAAAATGCTTCATATACTCTTTTTTCAGGTGTTTTCCGATGGCGTGCTTCAAGGTTTTACAAAAACTTTATTGGGCGACTCTGGAAATCATTCGATGAGGATGGGCGATAGGGACGAGCCGGCTTCGGCGAGTCGGGGGTCCATTTGAATGTAAGTAGCTGTAACAAGGCTATGCTGGAAGAATAACCAAAAATACCGTCTATAACAGTTCAACATCCCAGTGATTGTGGCCTTGTCTGACGGTGACGATCTGCCCAGGGCGGTAGTTGTGGATTCGGAAGGTATATCGTGCCGGGTTCTCGTGGATCCTGACAAAAAAAAAGTTTATTTTAGGCAAGGAGCAAACTTACACGTACATCAGCTACAATACGCGGCCCTGCGATGTGACGCGTGGCGCCTCGTGGTCCACAAACACCTCGACTCTGCGTCCGTCGATACATCGAACCGATGGTGCGCTCGGGGATGCAGCGGCAGGATGTTCGCAAAACATATGGTAGCCTCGCGCTGGAAGCTTCGTATATTGATGCAGGACGGAACATACTTACCAACAGCACTTGCTTGATGCGGAACGACAGCGCGTCGTGGTCGTATTTTCCTTCTTGGATCTGAATCCCGTGGGAGATAGCTGAATTTCTCTACCTTTTGAGTGCATTCCTTCACCACTTCTCCCTCGTAGAAGGTAGTATTGTTAACGGAAACGTTCGAAGGCGTATCCTCATACACCCCGGTGTCAGTATAACGCTAAATGAAATGTATTAGAACTTAGGGGCTATTCGAATGTCTCCCAACTTTTTTCACACGTACCGGATCGACGGATTGCAACTGAAGGATCTTGATGTTGCATCCCGAGCCCTCGCTTTTCCGGTACAACTCCAGCCTTTCTCCCTTTTTGATGAAGGTGCCATCGTCACCTACGTTTTCGGTATTTTTACTGAAATGGGACTTTACCCTGGTGCAGCTTCAGCGGCATCGGGACGGCGGAGAGGATCGGGGTCGAGTTTTTCATCGCGAGGAAGAGACCGTCCGGCGTCGAGAACAGTACCGTTGCATCATTGCGCAGCGCCGGCTTCGCCTTGGTGGCGCTAATCTAAGATGAAAGGGCTAACAAACCAATGATAGGATCTTACGTTGAACGACGGTCCGTCGTAGCTGGCTATTTTTTTCGAACCGAACTTGATCTCAATCTTTGCCCGGCCCATCGTAGTTTCGGCAGCCGTCGGTGCAGTCAATCGAAATCCGATCCAAAACTAAATCGTAACGTTGGACGAGCTAGCAGGTGAAACCAACATTTTGACGCCCAAATGGTAAAGCTGAATCGACGATACTGTCGCCAAGCGACACGATCAGCCGCAAGAGCCCAAAATTGATGAAGCCGATCACGCGAATCCAGCACACGAACTTTCGGCGCCTGAAAAGGGCGCCTTTGCACACGGAAATTTTGTAACTCACTTTTCCTCCGAACTCGCCAAGACTTTGGCCTCTTGACAGACGAATATATTGATCTGATTAGCTGCCGTGTGCATACTAGTAGTCGAACTTGTCGACACCGAAGAGATTGGGATTGGTGACGATGCCCCAAGAGCCATTATCTAAATCACGACATACGATAACAACAATCAACTCACAGTAACCCCGGGCCAAAGGCCACATAATAAACAAAAAGCGAGTAGTAATGGACAACCCACCCGTACCGCAACGTTACCGTCAGCTCCGATCTGTAAATTAACTTTATGCTAATTGCGGAATCCATTTGAGTGCCTAAGTGTCGAAAGCGGCCAAACCCAATTTATACAATTCTAATTGCCCCAGCACTACCTCCCCCTAACCTCTTCCCCCTAACCCCATTAATTTTCGACTCGGGCCCACCCCGTTTTCGCGGGCCCTCGCTTCTATAACAGAATTCTTTTACATTCACCGGTGATCTCTAATTCCGTCCCCCTTCCAATAATCTCTCAACACCCAATTTTTCTAGGATCCCACGCCTTGTCTCGTTTCGCCGATTTCTATCTCGAATTGTTTTTGATCTCTTCTGACGCAATAAACCTGGTCGATTTGTGGAGGGGATAGCTATGGACGAGGAGTTTTGGCCGCTCAGCTCGGAGAGCGGCTATTAATCCTTTTTACAGGTATTGTGTCGTACAGTTCGGATTTATTCCAATAAAAAGTATTGCATCGAGTAAGGTCACTTTTTGTTGGAGGTGGCGGTGCTGGAAATCTCGAGTAGGAAGGTACATCCAGTTTAGGTAGGCCGGCTGTACATCTCGGGTATGGCAATCTGAAAAGTACGTTTTAAAGAAGGATAGAATTCTTAATTTTTGACGGCCAAGAGAGTTACCTAATTGTGCAGTGTAATATTCCATTCACTGTGGTCCAATGTCACCTTGACCTCGATGAGGTCGCCGTTGTAGTGGAAGTTCATGTTGTAGACGTGACGATTCGGGGTTCCACGGACCCTAAAAAATTAGTTTTTATGTAATAGGAGCTGACCCACGTATAGACTTGCGACATTGTTTTTTGGCCGACAGAAACAATGGCTGTTGGGGATGTCGTGAAGACTTCTAAGCGCTTGCCGTCGATTGAGCGGATGGTGGGTGGACAGATCGTCGTCGACGGAAGAAGGTTGACAAACCAGCATTTGTAGCCGCCCTGAAACCTGGGTATATTTATTGTCAGGGTTATGTACCTTGTGCACAGATCATGGCGGAAGGTCATGAAGCTTGCGTCGAATTGTCCCGCGAGCAGCTAAATTCGATGGGAATATAAATATGGTTCAGTACCTTGTCGGATCCGCGTTTGACCTCCTCTTCTGGCGTCAAGGTACTGCCGACGTTGTCCAGGATGTTCATCCGCGTGTGCTCGTACAGACTGAAGGGCCAGTAGCGCTGAACGAAACGTTTAGTTCGCGAAAAAGCCGCTCGAATCGCTCCGTTTCAAACATACTGGATTGGGGCCGTATTCTTGAACAAATCGAGCGCCCTGCATGTTCCGCGCGCCTTGTCCGACGTCCACATGAACACTGCCATTCAAAAATCGATAGGTAAGGTCTAAATATTCGGAATGGGTGCTGAACGTCCGGAGTACCTTGGTGGACCTTCGTGGCAACAGCGACATGGCTCAGTCCAAATCTGCCTGCTCGAAGCCTCAGGTAGAGTTTGTTCTCGCTCTCGAGGATGACCAAACCGCCGTTGGTCAGCGCCCTGTAAGTTTTCGAGAGGGTCACCTAACGGGAAAAACTGTCGACCGAATGTCAACTCTTTACATGAAACAACGGTCCGCAGAAGGTGGCGATGAGCCGGCTTGCCCAGGTCAACTTGAATGAACACATGAAGATTGTTTCTCTCCGTGACACCCGGCTGGACACGCGGCGCGGAGAAGCGATAGGAGAGCATTTGCTAAGATCCAGCTTGGGCGAACACACAAGAAACCAACGTCAAAGCGTCAAAGCCTCCGAACGCCATGGTTCTGGACACAACACTCTCTCCGACCGTACCCGTCAATTCCAGCATCCCAAACGAGATTACGCCGATAACCCGGATAAACACGGTGAAAGCGCGCGCGCTGAAACATGGGCGAGCTTGAAACGAGACCTTTAACCCACTGATCCGGTGTGCGGGCGAAAATGGTCGATGGCTGATGCTTGTCGTGGACCTCATCCAAACTCGTTGCCGACGTTGTCGGCATTTTGTCCTAAACGAGGATGCTCGAATTGCCACAACGAACTTACACCGGACCGCGACTCGGCGGGATTGTGGGCCTACATTCCCAGAAACCAACCTTTTCCTGACTGATTCGTAAATTGCCGGTATGCTAATTGCGGAATCTAAGTAGATGCGTCATCTCTCCCCGTCATCTCTCCACGTCGTTGAGCGCTGACGAATCAGCGCCTCGCTCATGTCATAAGTGGCAAATGTGTACCCCTCTTTCGAGCCGTACGTTGGCCTTCTAGCTGACGTCGGTCGAAAATAATAGGGAAAATTGTGTACTGGTCTTTCGAGCCGTACGTTAGCCCTGTTGCTGACCCGAAAATAATCGGGAAAAGTTTTGTAATTAAATTTTTTGAGGTATTGCCAAGTTGTAGTTTTTGCATTGACACCTTTATGGTTATTATTGGTGGATAAATAAATTACTACAAGGAAAAAAAGAGATAAATGTGTAGTTCATTGAACCCTGTTCTTTTGCGGGTGCTGTGCTCTCTTCTCATCGGCGGTTGGGCGCACCAGAAATATGACGATTAGTCTAAAGTGAAAGAATAACAAATGTCGATCAGTATCGGGAAATTTGACGATGAATACGCATGGAAAGGCTTACGACATGAAAAGCTGCGAAACGGCATGCACGGTGTGCCAATGATAATTGTAGATGGTCACAAAATGTGATAGAGCCCAACGGAAGGCACCGAATCTGTCCTTTTGCAGCAAGACTGTGGGTAGCACCTGGACGATGTGCGTGGATATCGCCTGGAAATGGAATCAAAATGTTCGGGAAATGCTTGGCCAAAAAACCCAGTGCTTGCTTTTGTTATAAGTTTTTTTTTAGATTACAATATCTTGAGTTGGAAATAAAACACTTATTATTTATTTTGACGCTGTCGAATTGCGTCATAAAAGCCCCGAAAAACGGCGAGAATACGGAATTTTGAGACACTCGGTCTGGGGGGGGGGAGGTGAAGTAGACCGTAAGAATTACCATAATGGAGAGCCTCAAATCAGCGCTGCTTTTTTGATTGGAGGCTTTGTGTCGCACCTGTAATTTGAAAATGTACGTCGTAATTACTTACGCTCAATTTCAACCGAAAATAGGTGAGCACATCAAGGGCAATGCTGATTGCCGAGATATTGAATAGCACGTGCTCGAAACCGAGTTGGAGGTGCATCTGGATGTAATGGGCGTTAATTTTGATATAACGACGATCAAATCAATTTGGTTGACCGGTTTTTTACAGATGCCGCATTAAGCTGAAGTCAAAATCTATGTCCAAGCCTGACAATAAAGTGCTTTTGGTCAGGAAGGAAATTCGTGATGAGACAAGCCTATCTTGTGCAGAATTTATTGCTGATTCCGACCCCGTTTCAGAATTTGCAGAATAGCTTTATTTCAAAAGTTACAGCGCATTTTTGGGTGTTTTTCGGCAAAAAAAATTCTGACTTTAAAACCATGTAAAAATCTTAACAAAAAAATAGACAAAAGTTAGATGGCGCGTCTTGCTCAAGAAGACACGCGCTTTCAGATGAGGTATTGGGTAAACTATTTTGCTAAATTTGCGAAAAATCCCGTTTAACAGCACGGCTACCATACCAGGCATTTGTGGAACATCAGCGTGATTTCCGGAATTTCGCTCAAAATGTTGGTATGGTACCTTAACAAAAAGCGTTTTTCTTGCTGAACAATATAACATTTGCCTATTTTGTTTGTTATGATTTTTATAGGGGCTTTAAGGGATCGTGAGGACGCACTTAGATCGGCCAAAAAACGGTGACGCGCGGGAAAGGGGATTTCTGCGCTCTCTTCCCTGAGTGCCCTCTCTGGCCCTCTCTGACCCAGTTGGCTAACTGCCAATTTTAGTTGAGCCCACATCTACGTGGGCCCTCCTTATCCCTTTAAAGTCAGAATTGGTCCAAAAACACCCTAAAATGCGCTGTAACTTTTGAAATAACGCCCTTCTGCAAATTCTGAAAGCAAAAACGGAATCTGCAAAAAAATTTTGCACAAAATAGGCTTGGCCTCATCTCGAATTGCTTTCCTGACCATAAACACTTTACTGTAGGCCGAAGCCTAACTAGTAAGCACGCGTACTACTTTTTCTCTCACACTCTTGTCAGACATCCTCCTCACCTGGAAACCATCCCCATCATAGGGATGACTCAATTCGAGGTTCGCATTCACATATTCACCATACCACACTGGTTCGTTATAGTCCCCAACTCGTACCCTTTTTCTGTGCACGACGATGGCATATGGTACTGTCGTCATTAGGAATGAGGAGACGACCAGTGGAAATGTGAGCTTTTGAATGCTGTGGTAGTACATACCATCGAAGAACAAGGCGAGAAACCTGAGGGGCAACAAATACGCAAATTACGGGGTATACCTGTTAACGGAAAGTCCGAGTTCCAGAAACACCATCCATCTATTCGAGATTTGGTACAGCGGGATCACGAACAAATTTGTGACGGTTGGAAAGCCCCAGTAGCCGGGTATTGTCGGTGGCCCAAGCCAGCAATTGCTTCTGCAAAAAAATCTGGAATGAGGCCTAAGCTGCGCCCTCAACACAAGCAACGCACGCGTTTCTTAATTACGTTTGGACTTACCCCCCTCACGTGGGGGGGGGGGGGGGGCGATCTGTCAAAATCTCCAAAATCAGAATCTCGAATTTTCAGAATCTCGAATTTTCCGAACCTGGAATTATCACAATCTCTAATTTTAGAATCTCGAAACTTCCACGGTCTGAATCAGCATTACAGGGACATTCCGCTCTCGTTTTTAAGGTCTTGAAATGGTACGCGCTTTAGCACGCGGTTACGGTAGGTGCTCGGCCTCCGGCAAAATCGAACCCGCACCACTCGCCCTGGGGCAAGCGCCGTGGGAGGGACGGAAGAGGGGAGTGGATATGTCGGGTCCGTGTGTCCGGCCGCCCAAGAGGCAAATTCTCGCCACTGAATAGTGGTTCAGAACGAGAGCTGAAGGTACCTTTCAAGGCTCCGGAAATTGCACGCCTACGCCCTGAATCCAGCATAGGCATATTTCGAGATTCTAAAATTCGAGATTCTGGAAATTCTAGTTTCTGATTTTCAAGATCCTGTTTTTCGAGATTCTGATACGTATTCGTTCAAATTCCTGGTAAGCCCAAGCATAAGTCTATGCAAAATGTATACTTATGGTAGCACATAGCAAAGAAGCTGCGTAAGATTGAGCTGGCCAATCGAAGGATAGCCAACAGGGCCATCAGGAATTTTACTGAGAACGCTAACGACTTCTTCTTCGCAAGGATGAAAAAGGCATAGGTATGGATTGGCAGCGACAGCAACGTCAACTGAAATCAATATTCATGGAAGCTATAGTGCTGCATCCACATACCATAGTCATCGGCAGAAAGAAAGCCCACAAAATTCGATGGGCGGCATTCTTGATCCTTTGCGCGTATCTAGTCATCGATGCTGAAATTATCATGAATTCTAACGAATCAACGAGGACCCCACCTCAACTCACAAAAACCAGCGCCCAAAACCCGCTTCGCGGGCCTTGGGCGCTGGAATGCGGTCTTTGCATGAGAAATTGACTTTCCGATAGCTCGGTTCCTGTGAACCCCCACCCCTGCCCCCCACACGCGCGCGTGCAACTCGCAAAAATGAGAAAATTTGCATTTTTTTCAATTATGCAGATTAGCCCTGCCGGACCCCGAACCTTTAACTTTGTAAACTTGTATTTTATCAATGTTCTGAAACGCCATCGGCAAAAGGAGGGTCGATTCCTCCAAGTAACAGAGGATAAAGATACGCGCCCAAATCATATGCTTTTGTCTGGTTTTTGAATTTTTAAATTTGAAAAAAGTGAACGCGCGCCCAAATTATAAATGTTTGATTTTTGAAAGCATTTTCAAAGACCCAAAAACTTTTCTAATTGTTGGTTGCCAAGGCCTAAAATTACTGGCAACGAAAACATTCTTCTAACCAATTAGATTTCAACAGCATTTCATTTTCCGTTTTTCGATTCGTTCAAAAATGTCAAGTTGCGTTTGCCCAAATTACGGGGTGGCCCACGAGAGTGGTAATCGGCGTTTGCGCACAGCATTTCTCCGTTCCCGTACAAGGTTTTACTTAAGGTCACCGGGTCGTTTCGGTACGAGGCCTAGTCGATTTTGTGCAGAATCTGTCGCTGATTCCGAATCCGCCTCCAGTTTTTGTCAAATAACCCGAGTTTTCTATGGAAAATGTTGGAAAACAGCCCAATTCTCACCCCCGATAAGTGACCGTTTCTTACCATTCGATTCGAAAAAATCTCTACAAGATACTTTGTTAACAATGGATTGCAATATCACAAGAAAAAGTTGGGCATCGTGGTGGATGACTTCCCGTGGGCTCAAATACGAACTTAAAATCGCTAGACAGGGTGTCCCAAAAAAGACCCCCCTCCAACGGTCCGCAGTGATGTCCGATTTTTACGATTTAGGTATGTATCGAAAGATGTCGACGAGCTGAGGAGATGTTTTCTTTCTGCTTTTTGAAATCCCCGAATTTTGATGACATTTACTAAAATTTTTGCGAAATTAGCTGACTTTTCGATGCTTTTTCCCATGCAAGTGCTTTTAACAAAACCCCATTTCCAAATTTTTACATCTTTCCTGGAAGCCCAAGATCGGCTTCTTGAAAGGCATTTGAGAACATGGCTTGCAAGGGACTGAAGAATGTATTTTTTTGCACAAAATTGCGTAATTTACGCCCAAAAAATGTTCAAAATCGGGTTAAAAATTTGGGAATTTCACAAATCGGAAAGACACCCTATTTTCTTAAATTGGGGTATTTCACAAAAATTGAAAGCAGGTTCGGAGTCAGCAAAAAAATCTGCACAAGATAGTCCCGGTCTCATCCCTAGACGTCAACTTGACCTTACCGGGTTCCTTTGTAAGCATCGGTGCCGGTTTCTCCGGGTATGAGGCGGACAAATGGAAGAGCGATTTTAGGGTTATGAAGGCCATTTTTTTAGGAATATAATATGATAATATCGATTTGATAATCTGCATTACTTGTATATAAGTAAATACGCAGAGGGCAACCCTGTACCACCTTTTCAAAAAACTTTTTTGATTTTCGATCGACGCATTTTTAGAGGCCATGGGCAGTAATTTCCGGGACTTGAAGGAGACATCTCAGCTGATATCTAAAGCATCTTTCCTGAAACATTTCGGGAAAGATATCCTCGGAGACGATACCATCGTTGGGCCGCTCCTACTGACGGTAGGGGAGGGGAGGGTGACCATTGCGCGAAAGCATTTACGCCTAACGACATTTGCGCTCATGCAATTGCGCCGAGACCATAGGCGCATACGACATTTGCGCCAACGACATTTGCGCGCAACGACAATTGCGCCTAACGACAATTGTTTGTAATGGTTACAATGTTTGTAATTGTTTGTAATGCCAACCCATAAAATGGGTGTTCTTCTATGTTTCTATGCTTTTAAAAATTTGTTTTGCTAATCTAAACCTTGCTAATTGTCGTTAAGCGCAATTTTCGTTGCGCGCAAATGTCGTTGGCGCATATGGGCATAGGCGCATTTGCATAAGCGCAAGTGTCGATGGCGCAAATGCTTGCGCGCTATGGTCACCCTCCCGAGGGGAGGCCCCTAAACTATACATGGGTCGACGCTTGCATGCGCCGCATAAGCGTGGCCGGCCACGCTCTTCCGGAGCGTGGAGAGCCACGCTGGCGCGCGTGCCTCTTAATAAACCACGCCGAAATGAGCGTGGCCCGCCACGCTCCGGAAACGCTTATGCAAAGTTTCTCAAAATGCAAAATAAAAGTTTCCCAAGGGACATGAAAGCAAAAAATCGATCCGTTTTCGAGAATTTAACTAACAAGAAGTTGAAACACGATCTATCTTGTTTATTTATGAAAATTTAAAGATGACCCTGATAGTTATGTATCGACAATTCATTTTTGCAAATCGAAATCATAAATATATGTCCTTTAAATTTTTGATTTGCATCTGGAGTTAAATCGCGCGCGCGAAAAAGCACGCATAAAGCGCCGCATAAGCGTGGTCCTCCACGCTCCGGAAGAGCGTGGCCAGCCACGCTTATGCGGCGCATGCAAGCGTCGACCCATGTATAGCCTAAACTACAGCTAAAATCCGTCGATATTCCAGGTGGGAACCCT